ATACATACATATATAGAGAGGGGCAGAGACAGAGATACATAGAGACAGAGAGATGTAGGGACAGACACAGAGAAAGAGCTAACAATAAAGCAAATGGGGTAAAATGTTAAATGTAAAAGATATACAGTGTTCTTTATACTATTCTTAAAACATTTCTTTAAGTTTGAAATTATTTTCAAGCCAAAAGTTAAAAAAGCATTAGGATGCTATTAAATATTATATGTATATAGTTTGAAATTCTGATGACACCTTTAGAAATGGAAATACTTTCCATAGACTGTGTATCTTTCCTTCATTTCCTCCCCTGATATACCCTCTCAAACAGCAGTAACCTCACCAATAAGCAACACAGATTTTAAGTTTTACAAAGAGAAAACAAACTTAAGGGCCCTTATTAAGCACACAAACCTACCTATTAGTTGAAAATTAATGTGAAGTAAAACCACCACAATTTTAAGGGATAAACAGGAAAATCTGAGATGTAGCTCATTCATGATATAAGTGAATTCTCAAAACCAGCATCACTTTGCACTGAATGATTGACAGGCTTCCTAAAAGTGTGCCAAACATCTGAGCCCTGGTTGGATGTGGTCTTTCTGCAAGACAGTGTCTAGCCTGTACCCATCTTTTACACCAGCCTTGGACCTTAGTGCATCCAGAGCATTATTTTCTCACCTGTCCCATAGTTTGGCATGGGTAGATATTTGTTTCTCTACTTGCTTGGTAGTAAAAAGGTAATAAAAACAGTGACAAGTTCAGTGGTTTTTCTTTTAGGCTCCACTAAAATATCATTGCATCAAAGGGAAAGTCCATAAATTGTAGTTACCCAACACTGTTGTTTAATAATTACCAAGGAAATGTGGAGTTAATAAATAGGGATGATAGGGAAAGCTCAGTGTGGTGACTCAGTTGACCTCTGGACAAGGGGCTGAGTTGAGGGTTTGCCCTCTGAAGTTGATCTTGCAAAGGAGTGGGACACAACACCAGAGTGGATTCAGGAGATCTGGCTGAGCAGGTTCATTCTGTCTGCACACCACTCCCACTTTCTTCTTCCTGGGTTGCATACTTGGGTCCTATTCCCAAGGACACTAGGGCTGTTCTGTGGCAAAGCATCCTGGAAATGTCACCACTCTCCTCATCCCCAATCCACTGAATCACTTTCAGTTTCAGGGTTCTCTAAGGCTGTGAATGGGAATTGTTTGGGTAAGATCACTCAGGGTCCAGGAGAGGGGCCAGGAGCGGATTGGTCTGTTACAACCTTGGGTTTTTTGTGGGGAAGGAGGGTAGGTAATTAGGTCTACTTATTTATTTATTTTTCAGAGGAGGTACTGGGGATTGAACCCAGGACCTCATGCATGCTAAGCATGTGCCCTACCACTTGAGCTATACCCTTACCCAGCCACACACATCTTGATTTCCTACTTCTGGCCTCCAGAACCAGGGGAGATTATCATTCTGTTGTTTGAAGTCACCCAGCTTGTAGTAATTTGTTATGGCTGCCCTAGGACAGGGATGCTCTGTGTTAATATGGGCTAAAGGGCAAACCCCTCCTCACTTTCTCTCTACAGCTCTACTGGAGGAAAACCTGTGAGGGTGGGCCCCAGCCCTGACAGGTGCCTGCAAACACACTGCGAGGCCCCATCCAACATTCTTCACAGAGCCTGAGCAGGGCAGGGGTGGGTGAGGCCCTTGGGACCACTCCCTCTTGTTCTCATTTTCTCCCTGAGGCCTGGGCTCCTCCAGAAGGCAGAGTTTAGCACACAAATATCTTTAGTTACATAACGCCTCAGCTTCAATAAACCTCTGTGTTCCGTAGTAAATGATTTTACTACAGGTCGTTTCCTGCATGTGGGCTTTGAGAGGGAAGAGAGCCAGGAAGAACACGTGGGACCAGAGAGATGTTGCTATGGTGAAAGCAAGAAGCACAAAGAGGGAGTGGAGAGCTCTGCAGACCCCAGCTTCCTCCCTCACAGCTTCACAAAACAAGCCGGAGACTTGGCCCCAGTCCCCTCTGCCAGGTAGGTAATTCAGTCTTTCAGCCTCCCAGCAACACTGCAAGTATATGATATTATCCACATTTTACAGATGAGAAGATCCAGTTTGTCCAAGTTCATGCAAATGGTACGAGGACTGAGACAGGGCTTGAGAAAATGTCTACCTGTCTCCAAGCCCCTGGCATAGGGTTGTCTTATCATCACTGTTAAAAGGAAATACAGAAAAATGCAGTTGGAGGGATTCAGACCTGCCAAATCCACCTGGTTTGGGTTTGAGCCCTGGAGGTTATTATACATCATATTTTCAGTGCTGACTATTCTCTGGGCAACCATAAGCCAGAGCTGTCTCAGTCCTACCCTCCACCTCAAAGTAGCTGTTAAGACCAGAGGTTGCCCATGAAAAGAAGCTCCTATTCTGTTGTATGGATAGAGAACACCTGCGTCTCAGTCACCTGTTACTAATTAGCTGTGTGTTATTGTCATAAAAGAACTCACCTTTAAACCTCTCTGGGCTTCACTTTTCCCATCCGAGATGTTAGGGGGATGGATGGAATGAGTTGTTGTCAATCTTTTTGTACACTGGAACTTCCTGGGGAGTTTGTCAGGCTGTGGCCCACACCTATTAAATTGGAGTTTCCAGAGGTGGGATCCAGGCATCAGCATTTTCAAAAACTGTCCAGGTGATTTTTATGCATGGCCAAGTTTGAGAACCAGTGGGTTACAAGACTTCTAAGATCTTTCCAGATGTAATGTCTTTTGTCAATGTCTGCATGTGAAGCTAGCGGCCTTTTAGAGTTTTGATCCCCCAGATACTAGGAATTCACAGAAAACCCTCTACTAAAGCTCCATCCACACTCAACGTTTCGAGAGAAAGTCACTTTACCATGGTTTTGCCCAACAATATGGTATTTAAAATCTATGAACTTGCCTAAACCTATTATGGCCTTTCATGTTGTTAAGGTGGAAGGATTCATGTGATAATAGAACTATTCAGGTATTTAATTATTATTTTAGGGGTTGTTCTGAATGGTATCCTGGAGTTCTAAAAAAATTAATTAATGTAATCTAGTCAACTGGCCTTAACTAAACCCTCATTTGTTCTGAGGACCATGAAATTCAACCTAGAGATAGAGAGGTGAATAGTCTTTCACATTTGAGGAACTCACACTCCAGGGTGGTAGTAAGTGTAACAGTAATAATAATAACAAAAGCAGCCACGTTTGGAAACTACTTAGGCAAAGTACATCAGGTAATGTGACAGTGCTTTTTGTACATCACTCTAGAGTGTTACAACAGTCTTGCTAGGTAAGCATAATTTTCTCTATTTTATTGCTGAGGAAACTAAGGCCCAGAGAGGTCAGGTAACCTGATAAGGTCACACAGCTAAGAAGCCATTGTTCTGCCATTTCAGCCTATGTCTCCCATGCTATTTCCACCATACCACAGCACCTTTACAGAGAAATGATCGAGATATAGAGATAGAGGTGGCAGGGAGAGGGTTAACGTACAAGGGGGAGAATCGGGCCTATGGTGGAGAAATAACTGAATTGCTCACCTGAAAGATGCTATAAGAAACTAAATATTATAAATTAATATTTTAACTATGTTTTGGGCTCAGTCTTGTTAGAATACACAACACTGGAACAGATGAATTCATTATGAAGGGCTAGTTCTCCGCAGTCATTTCTAGCTCCCTCAGAGCTGGTCTTAAAGAATAAACCCATTGTGTTATTCTTTGGATTGCATAGTTCAACAATGTCATTTTTAGCCAGTATGAGGTCTTTGGATCTAAGCATATTTTCACTTTTGCTGATTGCCATCAGTGATACAAACTGTACAAAGGGGAAAGGATGTGGGCACAGCTTGTAGCAATCACTTTTTCTATGATGTTTATATCCAAACGCAGTGTGAACCAGCACATTCTGAAGATGCATACACACACACAGTAGTTACTCAGAAATCTAAATGTAAATCTATAACTTGACAAAGCACTGAACTAAAATAATTCACCCATGAAGCCAGATGTAGCTTGAAGGGTAGGTAGTAAACACACTATGGCCTGAAGCAGGAAAAGGAAAAAGAAAGAAGCAATGAATTTTCTTAGTGAGGCTTTCACAAACAATGATTTTCACGTTGTAGCCAAAACAAGTAAATGACCAAAGGATCCTAAGATCCTGAGGAATATTCAGAGATTATTGAAAGTGGTTTAAATACCAGATTTAAAAAAAATCTTCTAAAAATATTTATTACATTTAAAGAGTGGAAATTTCCTATACATACAGAGAAAAGGTGCATAATTACACATATGTGTTACATATATATACACACACACACTTCATATACAAAATGTACACACAAGACTGTATGGCTGAATACATGTTTTTTATAAGGACAGGCAAATTTCACAGCATTCTTTTCATGTGGAAAATTACCTCCACTCTGGAAACAATGAGCAAGAAAGATACATCCTTTTACCACAAATAATAACATAGTGGTAAGTCATTACACAACCTCAGATGAAATAATATATCAACTATAGCACAAATTTGGACAACATCTATTCCTAAAAGGAATGAAGAGATATTTACAAAACTAGCAATGAGATACTGGGTTAATACATTGAAAAGGTACACACGATTTTTATATTACTTATTATAATATATATATTTTAAAATATTTGAGTAAAAAGCTAATGGAGAATAAAGATGATCCCATCTGAAACAGTTGATGTGCTTGAAACCTAATTTTTAAAATTTGTAGGTAGGAGCACTTTAAAAAGGCTAACAGACCATAAGCTTATTTTTCCCTTCCAAATGCTTATCAAATAAGAAGTAAACATTTAGAACAGCTTTGTTTCCTATGTGAAATCCATTTTCCACACACACACACACACACACACACACACACACACACACACACTACTCTTTCTCCCTCTACAACTGCAAATCCCTACCATTGGACTAAAAATGCGAAGAACCAAAGGATGAGTTAAAGCAGCGTTTTTACCTTTATGCTGATCAAACACAGATGGAGTGCTGAAATCCATGGTTGCCTGTCTCATCATTTACCATCAGAATGGCAAAAAGCATCCAGGTCTCTAGAGAGGAAAAAAACACCATCTCACACGTTACAGTCAACACAACAGTCAGATACAGCATCCCTTGCCAAGACCTCTGTTTGAGAATTAAATGTGCATCAGAGCTGCAGGTCGTTGTCAAGGCAAATGCTGGAAATAGGTAAATGTTATTTCTGTAATACATGCCAGGAAAAAGAGTTACTTCCTATGGCCTCATTCATCAGCTATACCCGTGTGTAAGTATTATACACACTCCATCCCCCAACAAATATACAAAAAAACCTCAAACCCTAAAAAACAGTATTCGTGGCGGGCCACCTGCCTTGGATCTGGGCCAGGAAAATAGTGGAAGTCACGGAGCTTCAGCAGCTGGTGTGATGCTTTAAACTAAATGAAATCTCAATGGGTGAGTGAGGATTCACAGGGCCAGACGGAGCATGTGCGAAGCTGCCAATGCAGTTTGGATTCGGCTGTGTTCTTGGTGGAGTGAGAACTGCATTTAGGTCATGTGAGCAGAGTGCCATCTCAATGGAATAGGACGTAAATATTGTAGCAGGAGGCTGCTGGCCATGTGCTATATGGAGTAATTACCAGCTTTCCCAGCTCATCTTCAGTTTCCCTTCAGCTCTGTTCTCCAAATGACAGGGAGCGGAGGATGGGGGAAGGAAAGATTTGAGGTTGTATTCCAGGGCTCAGATGACCATGATGATAAAATTAAAACAGTTCTGCAGTCACAAGAGTGTTTAGTGCAGTGTTATATGTAGCGGCAAAAATCACCTGAATGTATATCCTTTGAGGGGCAGTTGAATAAATGGTAGTAAATTCATACTCTGGATGAACAAATCTGAAGTAAATCTGTTCCCAGCCAGGGTTCTTAAACTACTTAATCAATAGAAATTGATAAGAGGCCAGATGAGACATTCAGGCAAGGCTTTTTATTGGGACTCATGTTGCAGCGCAAGGGAGCAAAACCAATTAACAGGTTTTCCCTTGCTGGCTCACTGAGTTGGAGTGAGCTGCTCCATTAAATGGAATGTGGGTAGGGGTGGGTCCATGGGTCTGGCCAGAGGGGCAGCTTATGTGGTCGGCCCACTGCCTTGGTGGTACTGTGTGCAGGGACCATGCCTAGTACCCTGCTTTTGCTCCTGATACCTCAGAAGTGGCAATTGGGTTTTTGGTCTTTTTGTATCTTGTTCATCATTTGCCCCAACCGTGCATGTGTGCAGGTATTTTAAGTACTTTATAGTTTCCCTGTATTCTGTTGCTGGAGATGTTTGTCCAGGTGCAATACACTGCAGTAAAGGGTTCCAGGTCCCAGCCTGTCTCAAATCTATATGAATTTATCTGGTAGGATGACTCTAATCAATTATTAAATGAAAAAACAGACATTATATATTTCATCTGTTCACATTTTTATAAACCCAGCGACCACTCACTGTATATGTGAACATGCTTATATATGTTCATAGGAACAGAGGAAGGTATATGAATATATACTGTTAATATTGGTTACCTCAGGGAACTGCAATTAAAGTAGATTTCTGACTTATTCTTTACCTACCTCTGTATTCTTAGGCTTATTATAACAGGTGTCTGTTATTTTAAATGTATCAATAAAAATCTGATATAATTAATTCAAAACAAAGCTCTACATTCAAGGCACAATCAGATTTTTGCATACGTCAGAGTGCTATAGTAGATGCTCTTATAAATGCTGCTGATAATGGTAATAACTGTTTTTTAAAAAATGTAATTAGTGTATGACTATGCAAATGAAAGTAGAGACCATTTTTCTTCATATATGGCCACAATTGTTTTGATCTGGACGATATGGGCTGTGTTCTTCAATAGACAAGCTTCTTTCTTATCTCTTGCCTCTCATATTTTCTTGGTGTCCCATCATTTATTTTCTATCAACACATCATCTGGCCTCGGTTCCCTGTGACAATGCTATGACCCACTTACCCTCCTCACATCAGCCTTCCCCCCGCCAAATGCTCTGTGTTTATTTTATTTAAAGCATAGGCAGAACCTAATTCTTATAAATCATTATCCAAAATGTGTTCCATAGATACATTTCTTAAATTTCCCAGTGCTGTTTCTTTGTTTTTGTTTTTTTGTTTTTTTTGCATTAACCATGAAAGCCAGACTTCAGGGGGCTGAGAGTGGATTGGTGAAGACATTTTAACTTACACTAGCAGATTTTCAGCTAAGGAGAGATGGGTCTAGCTCACCCAAATGACTGAGGTAAAAGGAGCTGTGGCCACTCGGTCCTAAACAAGAGAAAAAGCAGGGATTTAGATTAACTTCTTTTTAATTAATTTGTTCATTAATTCATCAGTTGCTATGTAAGGATTACCATGCTCCAGTCATTTCCATAGACACTGATGATGCAGCCATGAGTAAGACAGAAAATGCCTCCATGCTCAGTGAACTTATACTTTGGGTACAACTTCTGCTTCTGGCCATGCTGGAGTAATAGGGACTGGATTTACCCTCCTACTTAAAACAGCTAGAAAACTGGGCAAAATCTCTGAAACAATGGTTTTCAGGCAGCAGGCAGTGCAGGTGAGTGATCCCTGGGGGAAGAGAAACAACTGAGCTGAGCCTGATGAGTCCCCAGCTGACTGCCTGGGGAGAGTTTCCAGGCTGAAGCGCAGGGAGGGTGATGTGGGCTCAATGGTGGCCCCCTGAAAAGATGCATCCACATCTTAATCCTCAGAACCTGTGAATGTGACCTTATTTGGAAAAGGGGTCTTTGCATATGTAATCAAATTAAGGATTTCAGGTTGAAATCATCCCAGGTTATCCAAATGGGCCCTAAATTCAATGACAAATGTCCCTATAAGGGACACACAAGGTGAAGTAAAGGCCATGTGGCCAGTGATTGGAATGATGCAGCCACAAGGCAAGGTACATGTGGAGCCACTAGATGTTGGAAGAGATGAGGAACAGATTATCTTCTAGAGCCTTCAGAGAAAGTGGGATGGTGTCAACACCTTGATTTTGAAATTCAGTTTCCAGAACTGGGAGAAAATAAGTTTTTGTATTTGCAGCAACCAAGTTTTGAGTTTTGGGACTTGGAACCCCTTTACTGGAGTGCTTGTACCTGGACAAATGTCTCCTTAAGCAACAGAATACAAAGAAACTATAAGGGACTAAAAATAACTACATGCATACACACACAGCCAGGGCAATTATGAATACTATACAAAGAGGCTACAAACTAACTGCCACTTTGGAGGTAGGTGCCAGGAGCAAAAGCAGGGTGCTGGGCATGGTCCCTACACACAGCACCACCAAAGGGGTGGGCTGACCACCTAAGCTAACCCTCTGGTCCAACTCATGGATTCTACCCTACCTTCACCCTATTTAAGGAACCAGCTCGCTCCCTGACCCTACCCAGAGAGGGAGCAAGGGAACCTGTTACTTTTTTTCGCTCCTTCGAATCCCCAAAAAGCCTTGCCTGAATTTCTCATCTGGCCTCTTGTAATTTCTATTGATTAAAGTGTTCAAATACCTGAATGGGTAACAGTTGGTGATAATTTGTTACAGCAGGCTTCAAGAAACTAACACAGAGGATGCCTTCTCAAAATAAATGCAATCTCCATAATTGTTACATTTCTGTGCCCACTTATGTTATTACCAAAACCAAATTAAAGTATAGATAATTTTATGTTTTTGAAAGGGCTGTTTTGGGCTCATTTTGAAGAAAGGCAGTCAAATAGAGTGCAAAGGACATGAGCTTTAGTTTGTCTCTTGTTAGCTGTGTGATTTGGGCAAGTTACATAACCTTTTTAGCCTCAGTGTCTTAATCTGTAGAATGGGGACCCCACCCCCTAACTTCTTGTGAGAGTTATTATTGTTCAGTTCACTTCCTAGGCCGCAAACATAGAAATAATTCTTTCTATACAACCAAAGCCAAGTGTCAGATAACATTTAGGTGTTTCTTCAAGTGCGTTTTGAATAAGGCCCTTATTCAGACATATTCACACATTTTCACACATATCGGGTGTCTGTGGTTCATTAAGTCTTATCTCTGATGCAGGAGGGGAAGAGGAGAAGGTCTGTATGACTGGGCACAGTCTGGCTCTCTGCTTTCTCTCTAGCTCATCTCTCACCGCCCTCCCTCCATTCTCACACCGGCCACACTGGTCTCCTTTCTGTCCCTTGGAAATGTCATCCCCTTTCCCAGCCTCCTGAAATTTTGCTGTTTTGTCCATCCACTTGCAGTGATCTTTCCCCAGTTCAAACATCACCATTTCATTGAGGCTTTCTCTGACCACATTTTCTAAAATAGTCTTCCACTCCTTAACCCCATCTGTCACTTCCTTTTCTGGAATGCCACTTGGTGGATTAACAATGAGGAATACCCCTGCCAGGGAGACAGGGCCTTTGCCCATGTACATCTGTCTAGCTCAGTGCCTCTCAGACTATCTGTGGTGAAGGACCAGGTTTTCAAATTTCCAAAACATCATGGAATTGATACATTAATAAAATATAAAAATTAATAATTTATAAAGAAAAGAAAGATTTACAGAATGCAAGCCCCAATTTTTACTATTAGATTCAGTAGGCATAAAGTTATGTGTCAATAAATGTAATCAAAAGATAGAATAAAAGAAGTTTTAAAATGTACACATTGTTCTCTGAAAGTACATTTAGGCAGTAATACACTGTGCCGTCCAATATGGCAGCCACTAGCCACATAAGGCTATATGTTTAATTAAAATAAAATTTAAAAAATTTCATTTCCTCAGTCACAGCAGCCACTGTGATCTTATTTTGTCATAATTAAAACCTTATTCTCTTTGAGAGCTATTGCTCAGAAAACAAAAAGACAAACCATAGACAGGGAGAAAATATTTGTAAAACTTATCTGATAAAGGACTTGTATCCAGAATACACAAAGAATTCTCAAAACTTTGTGATAAAAAACCAAACAACCTAATATTAAAAAGCACAAAGATCTGAACAGACATTTCACCAAAGAAAAGATACAGATGGTAAATAAGTATATG